CACCCCATGCCCCTCTCTCTTGAAACTGGGCTGCCCCAGACATGAGAGTCCGCTTCAGTCTCAGCTGGTGGGAACTCCGGGGCCACTTCCCCACTAAAAGCTCTGGCTTCTGGGGGAGCAGAACCCCAGAAGTTGGCTATCTCTGAAGTTGGAGACATGGAGGTGGTGGTGACAGACTATGGCCCCTTGTGGGGACTGTTTGCCCCACAAGTGTCTCAGCTGCTACCTAGTCTGGGACGGGGCACAGGTTGCTGCTAAGTGTTGAGTGAAAGGTGGGTTGCAGGCGGTCCCCAGCTCTGCACCCCCGTCCCTTCCTGCTCCAGTTCAGACTCTTCCTGTCCAGCGCCAGTCTGGGGACTTGTGGACGGGCCTCTCATTCACCCTGTGCCCTCATGATAAAGCCAGGCTGCTGTCCAGCAATCGGTCCTAGACAGGAGGCTGCCCCACTGCCCACAGGTCTCTTACCTATGGCCCCCTCACCTTCTCACTTGGTCCCCACCCTCCCAAGGCTCTGCCCAGTTGGCTTTGTTTTTTAATCAGTGCTCACCAGGAAGGTCTTCCACACCCTGAGATATGTACAGGTGAAGGAGACCCTGTTCCTGAGGCCCTGATCATACAGCCAGGCTGTAGGTACCCACCACCCTGAGTACTAAATGTGCCCCTGGCCACCTCCTTCCTTCCTGGGCCTGGGAAGCTCAGGCCGCCCTCACAGCCACTCTATGTCCTGAGAGCAGGTGGGGAGCCCTGCAGGCCTCCTGGCTTCCCTCCCGCTTCCCAGTGAGTAGCACTCACGGTGAGCAGCCCTGCGCTCAGCATCCAGGGCATCCGGGCCACGCCGCCTCCTAGACAGGTGCGCAGAGAGCTAGACAGAGACTCTCTTCATTAGGACTCTGCACTGGGAACAGAGGGTGGGGGTGGGGACGGGAGGTCGGAGGAGCGAAGCAGGAGTTAACCCCGCCTCTACTGGCTGAGGAGCCGCTCAGGGGAAGAGACTATGGAGAGCTCTCAGGGAGGGGATCCAACACCTGAGGCCCCCGTGGGGACCCAAAGCTGGGTCCAGCCCCACACACAGCAGCCACTCCCTTCACCCTCCTTGGACAGGGCCATGAGGTGGGTGGAAGGCCCAGGACCCTCATTCCGTCAGATGGGACCCTCGGTGCTCTCAGTACTAAAGGGGCCTCTTGTCTGTCTGACCTGATGCTTCTGGATGTTCAGTGGAGATGGGGAAGGAGAGGAGGGTGGTGGGAGGTGTGGGGGCAGGACACAGAGTGGGGGTGGGTCCTGAGGTGGGTGGAGCCAACCCCTGAGGATCAGGGAGTTTAGCAGAGTAAAGGCAGGGGCAGCCACCCTCCCAGACGGGCTTTGGCGATTATAGATTATAGCTGGCATCCATTTGCATATCAGAATTTTAAACAGCCAGCCTCTCCAGCAAACAAGGTCATTTCAAAGATAAAATTACTGAGTTCTCCCTCTTCCTGCTGCCTGCCCCCCTTTCCCTTTGAACTGGGCTGAAGGCTCAGGCCAGGGCAGCTCCAAGTCAATGTCCTCTTCTCCAGCCCTGCGGGTGCCCTTGGCACTTCCGGCTGTGACCCCCTCCCTACAGAGGCCGGGATGGGTCCCCTGCTCCGCCCTTGTCTACTTGTCCACTTTCCCGTGGCAGAGAGGGACCCCTCTCTGCTCAGATCCTACCTCCACCCCCTCTCCCTTGGGACCAGACCCCACTCTCCTGACCCCTCCCTGACCCCTCAGGCCCCAGGGCCTCCTCGCCAAGCCCTGATGGCACCTCTGAGCCTTTGCATGGGCTGTGCCCTCTGCCTGGCACCCTCCCTTCCCACATGCTCTCAGCCCGGCCTGCCCTGCTGGGACTCCCGGCCCTTCCCTAGGACCTCGTATTCCCCACGGTGCATGCTGGAGCTGCCTGAGCTCCATGAGGGCGAACATCCTTGGCACAAGCAGCCTTCCTCCAACACTTATTTGGGGCGCCTATTTTCTAGCCTCCTCCCACCCTGGTGTCTCAGAGGAGGAGGTGACAACGCAGAGGCCACACTGTGTGTGGTGTCACTGTAGAGCTGGGCCTCAAACCCAGCTGGGACCCTGTGCTCTGACTGACAGATCTGGCTCTGGGGCAGCCAGGGCATCTGGGTGAGAGGTAGGCGTGGACCTGTGGGGCCGAAATGACCACCACCCACAGGGGACCAAAAGGTGCTGCTCCCAGCTCCACGGCTCCACAGCTCAGCCGGCCCAAGAGTGGAGTTCTGGTTGTCTCAGACCATGGATCCTCCCGTGGAGCCTGCGACACTGCCAGGCACACATGCATGACAGGCCCGAGCCTAACACGGAGGCGTGGTGCTGGCTCTGCAACCAGGCACGGCTCCCTCCTCACAGCTCCTTTGAGCGGCCAGCACTCTCCTTAGCTCCCTTGGACACACGAGGAAACTGAGGCCCAGAGAGGACAAGTGGCCTGCCCATAGTTACTCTGCAAAGTTAGGCTCAGGATGGGCAGGCTGACTCAGGGTCTTTGCTGCTGTCCTCAGACAGTTTGGGGGTTCCACTTGAAGCAAGCTGGCAGCCGCTGATAGAGCTCATAACTTTAGAAAATGAAAACAAACATCTGGAACTCCTCCTCAGCCTGATTTTGTTGCTCTAGAGTTACCAGGCATCTGCCAGTGGTAGGAAGAAACTAGGGCGGGCACCATGGAGCCTGTGGATGACAGGATGGGGAAGGGGACCTCATGGGAATTTGCAATGTGTGTGTAGGTCCTCCTGGGAGGAGAGGGGTGGGAGGCCTCCCTTCTACCCAGTGCTGCAGGTTGCCTCCTAGGGGTCCTTTTGGTAGTCTGCTCAGGGCCCCGACCACTGGAAGCGGAGCAACCGTGGTGCCCCCACCATGCACTTGCAGACAGGGGCCCCGAGGCTCGGCCTCTCCCCTGGGCTGCTATCGCCTGGGTCCCAACCCGCGGATGGCAGCCAGCATGGGCTGTAGCACGTGTGCCGAGCCCTGGGCTCTGTGAGGTGACCAGCTCCCACCCTCATGCAGGCCAGATGGAAAACCAAGGCTTGGACCCAGTCACTTGCTGAAAGCCAGATGGTGTAGGGTGCACTGTGGTCCAAGCTGCCACCCCCATCCCAGAGGGGACATGTGGCTGATCCCCCAAGCTTGCTGCTGGTGAGGGTAGCGGCTAAATTTTCCCTCATATTTGAGGTCTTAGAACTAGCTTTAGGCTAGAGATCAAAAAGCAGGGAGAGAGAGATGCTCTCACATACGACGGGAAGTGGGGTTCAGAGGAGCAGAGAATGAGAGAGGGCTCTGGACTTGCAAGGAGTAACAGGACTTGCAGGTGCAGGCAGCCAGGCACTGGCTGCACCCCTAACCTCCAGGCGGTCACTGCTGGGCAGTGCCCTTGGAGACACCAACACAGTTGGGCTCTGATGAAGCCTCGCTGCCCCATTGCTGGCACAGGCAGCCCCTGCAAGATAAGAGCCCACTGGGCCTCTCTGGCTTCCCCGGCCGGGTGATAAGTGTGGCCTGTTTGAGGCCTGATAGGGAGTGGCCACCATGGCGGTTGGCCAGCGGCCACTTATCGGCCCATCGCTGCCCACTTCATATCTGTGGGAACTGATAGGGAGCCCCTCGGCCCCCAAGGATGCAAATAGCACAGGAAGCTCCTGGGTATACCCCAGCCTTGCCTGGGGTCAGGTTCTGATCTCCAGGGGCCTCTGTTTCTCTGGGTATGAAATGGGGATGACGGCACCAAAGCTCCGGGGGGCGGAGAGGCACCACCTGGGGTAATAGCTTAAGCCAGCACTCATAAACCCATGGCCAACTCTGGAGCCAGGTAGTGGGTCCAAACCTGGCGCTGCCACTTCCCACCTGGTGACCTTGGACAGGCCCGTTGGTTGCTCTATGCCCCCTACCTTGGCAGAGACTTCCCTGCACCCTAGCAAGGTGAAGCCCTCACCACAAACCTTCTTTCCACTGGTCATGAGCCTCATTTGTATTATTAGAAGTGAGCATGTAGTCTGCATGCATGTTCCCTAGGGAGTGTGCTCACAGGTGTCTGGTACACAGCAGGCTTTCAATAAATGCTTGCTGCACCCACAAATGTGCCTGGCATGAGTACACTGTCTCCTTTCCATCCTTCTAGTCACCAAGGACCACACTCTCCCTCCCTTACCCCAGCTCCAACATAACAGCCCTTGATGGCAAGCTGTACCTGTGACTGCAGACGTAGTCCTGCCAAACCTTCTTCCTTGCCACCCGGTCCCTGAACTGGTTGGTTGTGAAGAGACAACCAACATTCTTCCTTCTCTTCACAAATGAGCGGAGTTGGGGGACCCAGAGAGAACACATATGGCGGGACCTCCAAATTCATATTTCTAGTTGCAAATTAGATGTGGGTATGATTATCGGCCCAAGACCACCCTCAAAGATACTTGCTGTGGTGCAGGGCCAGGCAGTCTATGGTCACCCCCTGCCTCCCAGGAGCCTGCAGCCACCTTGGGGGTGGGGGTGAGGGCAGGGGCAGGGGCAGGGGCAGGGAAGGCTACTCTGTACAAACCTGAGTGCCTGTATGGCTCTAAACCCCTAGCCCAGCTGGGAAGGTCCTCCACACGCACCCACCTCCCTCTTCGCCCTGGCTGTTTCCGCCCCCTGGGATCCCTTTTCCTGCCTGTACCACCTGCTCCTGTTTCCCAGCCAGACCAGACTCAGACCATTCTTGGGAATCTTCAAGACACTTCCGCCTGCCTGGGATTCGGCTCTAAGCATCAGCAAGGCTCTAGGCTTGCCTCCAGCGATACCACTGGCCCCACGGGCAGGCTGGACTTTGGAACAGGCACAGGCCTGGGCCTGATGGGTTGCCACCAACCTCTCCAACCAGCAGGCCAGGCCTGTCCCACTCAAGCCATCAGAGTGGTCAGATCCCAGGACTCCCAGAAGACTGAGCCCTGGGGCCATCCCAATAGGCAATGCTGCCGGACAGGACTGCAGACATGGTTACCTGGCCCGCTCCAGGAGCTGTGGGCTTCCTCCTCCAGATTCGTCTTTGGCTCCTGTCCCTCCGTTTCCTTGGGGCCTCCAGGAGATGTGGGGTGCGGCGTTGGTGGTGGGGGCAGGGGATTAGCTTCTGCAGAGAGGAAAACACCATCAGGCCCTGCCAGGCTCTGGACACTAAGCTGCCCGACCACTTGCCCCACATTGTGGCCAGGAAGGACGCTGAGGCCCAGGTGGGCGGGCGTGTGCCTAAGGTCGTCCCCCCAGGCTTGTTCTAAGCGGGGAGGATCACACATCTCACTTTTCCCCTTGGCCTTTAAAACCTCTCATCCCCCTCATTAATTGTAGCAATAATAATTGCTATTCCAGCTGCTGTTAATAATTAGAGTGCAGGATGCCCTACCAGGCACGCCCAGGCCAGACATAAGTGTGGGCTCCACCTCCTGGGGCAGCTGGGGGCCTCTCCAGCAGGCCCTGCATCCAATTCCAGCCCAAAGGGCATATTTGCCTTCCCTGCCAGCCTGATAACCACCTTAGCCCCCAATCGATGAGCTCCCGTAAAGGCCCCCCCTTGGTGACGTCACATGCTGGCAGATTATTAATACCCAAGATAAGGGCCATGATTAACATCAAATAAATCAATCACACAGTATAAAAGTCCTATTATTTTTGGCTATAAATCAACGTGGCTGGCATTTGAGCTCCAGCCACTGAGAGGGAGCTGTGCTGGCTGCCCCCCGCCCCCCCAGAAGAGGCAGATATTGCTCCAGCTGTCTTATCTCGCCCATCGCCACGTTATCACCACGGCCTGTGCCAGGTGCAACCCCGGCTGTTTTTTCTAGCTCCGACCCCGCCCCACCCCCACGAAGCCCCAGTTCCCAGATCAGATAAGGGGCTCTGGCACCCTAGGAAAGCCACCCGGTCAAAGTCCACCAGCAATGAGCCGCTCGCCCTTTGGCAGATCAAGGCCCCCGCAAGGCCTCCCCATTGGTGCACAGCACCTAATAGTAATGGCGATGGTGACCAGGGGCCCCTTACACATGCCCCCAGACCCCTTGGCCACCCTGAGGGGCTCATGTCCAGTTACAGATTTGGAAACTGAGGCTCAGGAAGGGCAGGAGTATGGGCTGGGGACCAGCTTATGGAGGGAGGCTGATGTTCCACTAAGCAATATGAGATAATGATGATGATGGCAGAGATAATAATGAACCAGAGCAGGCACCAGAGGCCAGGTGCGTGATCCCTTCACCTGGTCTGGTGGTCCCTGGTGAGCTGAGGGTGATGGGAACCCTGGCCCCTGGGTTCAACTCCTGTTGGCCCAGCCTCCTCTCACTGCATAGCCCTGGTGATACCAATGGGCCTGCTGCTGGGAAAGGGATTCAGAGGCTAGCAGGTCTCAGAGGACAAGGCCTTTTGGGCTCCCAGGCCTGTAGTTGTTCTGGGGGAGACCCTGATGCTCTGAGACCGGGAAATGCTAGGGGTGGGGCATCCACAGTGAGAAGGAACCTCCCTGCCAGGAACTAAGGTCTGTTCGGAGTATCTGCCTGTCCCCCTTCCCCTCCCTCAATCTCCTGCTGTCTACTTTCTATCCCGCCTCAGGGCCCTTGTCGGCCTAGTCTACCCTTCCCTGTGCACTCGCAGCATGGGGGGCTGCACGCGCCCTTGGGTCTCTGTCCAGTGTTGCCTCCCCACCCCACATCTCTCCTTCCCTCCATGCCCACCCACTTACCACCCTCCCAAATGGCCCAGTTTGTGGCTGTCTGCCCCATCAGACCACGGCCTGGAGTAACTTAGCCGGGGTGTGCATCGTGGCATAGAATGAAAATGGGAGTAGAGCTGCCAGCCACGGCTGTGATGGGAAATCCGGGGAGGCAGGGGGGAGGGAGCCAGGGCTCAGCCCCGTCCTCCCACCACAAGCTTTCCGTCTTCGGTTTCTTCATCTAGAAAATGGGTGGGGGTGCTGACCTCACCCAGTGCCTCTGCCTCGGTGAGGTCCTTCCTACCAGGGATCTCGCAGGGTGTCTGGGGTATGGCTAGCCCAGCAGGCCGCCCGAGCCTTGAGGCCCCACTGGGGACCTGTTCTGAGCAGGCCTCCTGCTGTCGGGTCCGTCCGCCCCTGAGTGGAGGGCTGCGTCTCCTTCCCATACTTGTTCACGGCTGGAGAAATGCATCCTACCTCCACTGGGGAGACTGCCACCGCGAGGGCCCAAGAAGAGACGCTGGTGCCTGGGGCGCGGTGGGGAGCAGATGGAGAGACAGGGGATCAGCGTGACTCTAGACCTGGGGGTCAGACCCCTGCTCAGGTGCTCAGGCTGTGTGACCCTAAGCATCTAGCAAACGGGGTGACAGAACCTAACAGAAGAAACTGCTCTGTGCTAAGCACCACGTGTGTTGGAGTAGATTCCATAGCTAGGTGAGGGCTTGCTGCCCAATTTTATAGAGGGTCAACCGAGGCTGGGAGGAGATACAGTTTTCCCAAGGTCACTCAGGGGCCCATATGATTCGCTATCCAGCCCTGCACTAGACCTCCCCCAACTGTACCAGAGGCTGGACTTCTAAGACCGCCCCTGCTGGAGGTGTGCATGCCTCCTCTCCCCAGCGGGCCCAGCCCCATAGCCCTGTGATCAGGCCCCTACTGGGAGTCACTCAGGTTTCTCCTGGCCCCGCTGGGCACAGCTGGCCCCCAGATACACCAAGCTCGATGCTACTTCGCAAGTGTGAAACCCAGAGGGACTGGCTCCCATGGAGTCACAGGCAGGAACGTGAAAAGGCGTGGGGTGGCTCCAGGTGCTAGATCCCAGCCTGGTAGACCCACTGCCCAACGCACCTGGGATAGAAGGGCTCGGCGGGTTGGGCTCTGCCTTGGCCTCGGGCTCGGGTGCTGCTGCCTCCAGCTCTGGGAGGCTGATGCCTGTGGCTTGGGCCTCTTCTCCAGCCTCCATGTCTCCAAGGGAACCTGCAGACACAGCCAAAGGGGAATCATGAGGTGCTGCCTCCTCATGGTGTACCCTGGCCAACCAATGGGGTCAGAGGCCACGAGGGACCAGCCATCAGTGCGCAGGTTCCCTCTGGGTCCCCCAAGACTTGATGTGAAAACCTCAACCCATATTAACCTGGCCCCTGCAACAATTCCAACACCTGGGGGGTCACTGGCCTTCCAGCCCCATCACCTGCCCTACAGCCTATGCTGGCCCAATGAACCGCTCTTGCCAGGACAATGGACCCAGGCTCTGCCCTCTGCTCAGCTCTAAACAATGGGGGCAGCAATGGGACTCTCATGGGTCAGGGAGACCCTGGAGGTTACGTGACCGCTGTGGCCTGCCATGTCCCACAGGTACGCACTTCAGGGGCTCGCGGGGCCCCAGGGTACATCTGCGTGCCCCGCGGGCAACGTTGGCTGGGCCTTCCACAGCTGTTTCCTCTGCCCGGGACCCTCCTCCAGGAAGCAGCCCACACTCAGGTTCCAAAGTTTGAGAGCTTCGTGAGTGTGGGCTGCAGCAGCTAGCACACGAGGCGCTCAGAGAACCTGATTGAAAGGGTAAATAGCTGATGGGATTCAGGTGGGCACGCAGGTATCTGCAGTCCACTTCTGGGAGCGAGAGTGCTACAGGCCTGGGGTCCCCTAATTCTAATACCCCCAGAGGCTATTACAGGGGGAGCCCCAGGCACCCACTTTACAAGTGAGAAGGCAGGTGAGAATCCAGGTGATCTGACCCAGACCAGCCTGGGAGGGCATCACAGCCGGACTCCACGGGGCCCCTGAGGGCAGGCCCGGGTTGCAGCGTTTGCTTGTTCTGAGGTCAGACAGGTGGTGCCAGTGGGCAGAGAGGACACTGGTAAGCAGGTGCCCCTCCTTAGTCTGCTCCCCAAACCACCTAAGCCCCTTCTGTGTCTCAGCCTGGGCCCCAAGGAAGGTTTTGGGGCGTACCGCCTCCTGTCCCAGTCATGGGTTCTTTTTATTTTTAAGTTTTTTTTGAGAGGAAAGTGCAGAGATTCCCCACATGCCCCTTTCCCTGACATGTGCACAGCCTCCTCATTCACAGGAATGGCACTTTTTTGTTGTTTTAAATCAAGGATGAACAGCAGGGTCCCGAATAACATCATTCACTTATAACGTTGATGAGATGCCGTGGCAACCTAACTCTGGCTTAGTGTCACTTTGCCGAGGGAAACTTGGTTCCATCACGCTTAGAGTCACAGAACATGTAGGTGACATTAAGTGAGGATTTACTGTACCTCCTCAGGTTCTCTCTCTCCCTCCCTTTCCCACCCACTGTCAGGGAGATGACACTCATCGCCCAGGTGTGGCGTGGGGGCGGGTCCTGACTCACGAACCCCAGCTGTGGAGCTGGAGAGGGGGCTTCTGGGCCCAGGGAACTGAGCCTGAAGCACCCTGGCCCTTTTGCTTCTGAGGACAATGAGCAAGAAGAAAAGTCTAGAAGGCATGGCAACATCTGTGAATCTCCATGTCAGAGGGGCCTGAAGGAGCACAGTGGGGTTCGGCAGGAACAGAGGCGCTGGCAGGGAGGCCTGAGCAGGTAGGAAGGGAACAGCTACTTCCCAAGGGCCACTGAGCTCCCAGTCCCTAGAGGCAAGCAAGCAGCCGCAGTGGGAGACTCGTTTGGGATTCACACCTCAGTGGCCACTGGCTCCTGACCTTCTGTATGCCACGACCCCTCTGGGAATCTGACAAATCCAGTACTTTCTCCCCAGAGAAACACAGAGAGGGACTTTAAAACGTGTCCAATTTCAGGGGGCTTCTCACTGTATCGCTTAGTGTCCTCCCTCCCGATGCCCTTACCCTCCAGCTTTGCCAGGGTTTTCCAGGGGTGAAAGGGGTTGGGTGGCTAGCTGGTGGAGGCAGATGGGTGCTGCTGATGCTTCAGTAACTGCCCAGCAAGTAACAACTGAGCCACCTGCCAGCATCCAGCACAGGGGAGGGTCAGAGAGACCCACGAGGCTACGATAGAATGTGGTGCCCAGTTCCCAGGCTTCCTTTCAAAATCTAGCAATTTATATGGAGCAGAGAGGTACAAAGCTGGTTCTCTCTTTGCATTTCAGTGCACCTCTCAGACCACAGGTGGGTGATGGCCCACCACCCAATGAAAACTGGGTTGTCTTTGGTGGGGCAGACGCCTTTCCTGACTTCTGCGGACGTCCGAGGGCAGACACTGTTCTAGAAAGTGGAGGTGCCGGGACCACTGGACTCCGTGGGGACTTCCAGACCAGCAGGGAGATAGTCAGACGATAGACAGGTCCCGAACCGGAACAGGAGAAAATTATAAATGCGTGGTGAGCGAGGGAGGCGAGTGAGAACAACGAAAGGCAGAGACGCTTCCAGCAGACCTCAGAGGGGACGATGTTGGCACGAGGCCGATGGCCGAGAAGAGGGCAGAGGAAGTGGTTTGTGCAAAGGCCCGGAATCCGTACAGGCCTCTATACGGTAGAAGGAGGAGGGGGTAACTGAGGGGAGAGTAGGGCCGACCTAGAGGCAGGGGTGGGTGGGGAGTTGGGAGGCAGGCGGGTCTTAACCCTGGAAGCCAACAGAGGGTCCATGCAGGACGGCAGGGTCATTTCCCAGCATCGGCCCCCTGGAATTAGCTCCTGCCTCCCCAGTCTCCTCAGGACACCTCAGAACTGTAATTACTCGGACCACACAGAACAAGCCCTAGGCTAAGCCTCCATGCTCTCATCCAAGTGCCCACACAGGCGGGCTCTGTGTTGGGCTGGGCACATCCCAGACCGGTCGGACTCGTGCCCCTGGGACAGGTGGGAGGCCTGACCTGCCGTAACCTCCCTGAGCACTCACCTGGGCAGGAAAGCACTGGATGCAGTGGGGGCCAGTCTCTGATCCCTCTCCCGTGGTGTGGGCCCTGAGCGGGCACTGCCCACCACTGTGGCCAGCACACAGTCCTGAAGTCAGGCCCCTTGCTGGCCCTTTTCCAGAAGCTGTGGTGCCTTCCTTGGCTCATTCAAAGCTAGAGGGATTGCCCAGGAGCTGCGGCCCCTCCTGCTGAATGGGCCATTGGATTTCAGGGCCTCAGTTGCCTACTCTAGAGAATGGGTATGAAGCTGCCTCCTTTCAGGGAATGCAGGGACCAGAGCACTGGGGTGGGGCTGACACTCCCCTCCCCAGGACCCCAGGGACAATAGCCCCCACTCTTGGTGCCTCATCCAGGTGGGCCTCAGCCACCCAGGGAGGCCCTGAGCCCCTGTTGGGTCCATTTACAGGAGAACAAAGGCACCCGCTCTGAACAAAGGCGTGACAATGAGCGTGAAAAAAGAGGCTGCCGGCTGAGGCAATTTATTCTAATGCCACTAATTCAGTTCCAGCACAATTAAAACAGCTCTGATAATACAGGAGACAACTGCCAACCAGCAAATCGCTACAAGCCCACAAGCAGGATGCAGTGTGGCAAATTCCACCCCACAGCCGCCTTGGTGCGAAGAGAGTGTGCCACTTGGCCCCTGCTTAAGACCCAGTGACCACCTTGGTTCCACCTGGGGCTCAGGGAGGGAGGCTTCTCAGCTGGCCATGGTGATGGCTGTGATGCTGTGTTTCCTGGGTGCCCTGTGCTAGGAAAGAACCCGGCTGGCCCCTGTGGGACCCTCTCTGCCCACAGACCCCAACCCATTGAGCCAGGCCAACCCACAGCCTGGCCGGAGGTGTCCTTGCTGTGTGACCTCAGACAAGTCACTCTACCTTTCTGTGCTCAGTAACCACACGGCTCTCACCTTATAGAATGAAATGAGGCAACACCTGTATGCAAGCTTAGCTTAGGGATGGCACACAGTATGTGTGCCCCAGACATCGACTGTCACCACTGTTAGCTACTACCACCCACCAGCGGCAGGGCCTGGGAAATGGTGCGGGGATGCGCTTATGGTTAAGTACTACCCTGTGCTCATTTTATAAATGTCCTTTGTGCCCCCCATCCCCCTGTGGCCAGGGCTGTAGGGGCGATGGGGAAGGTGTATGTAGGGAGGGGCTTACAATACCACTGCAACAGGAGGAGTGGTGGCAGAGGACTGGGAGGGTGATGGGGATGGAATGGTCGGGGGGGGGGGCAGGGCCCTGATGATGGTCACGACGGGCCAGTGCGCCTCCCAAGATGGAAGCGCGAGTCATGCCAACTTTGCACATGAGTAAACTGAGGCCCAGCAAAGTGAACTGACCTGTTCATGGGCCTCAGTGAGAAAGCAGTGGTGGGGGGTAGGTGGGGAAGGAGCCTCCTCCAATTAGCCATGCTTCCAGACGGGGCTCAGGCCATGGCCCTTCTGTGCACCAGGTGTGGCCCCGTGCCTCTCCTCAGCCTGCACATGAGCTGCAGGGAGGGCGAGGCTGGCCCCATACCTGGTAGAGTCAAGAGGCTGACGCCCAAAGCTGAGCATCTGTCTGTGGGGAGCTTGTGGGGGATGACGGAGGTCACCACTGGTCAGGGCAGTACTGGGCACGGCCCCTGCTGCCCAGAGCCCCTCCGTTATCATGGTGAGCAGACGCCATGCACGACAATCTGTCTCCTGCTCATTAAGCTGGATGCCGGAATGGAAATGAAAACATAATAGCTATTTGATTGGGGGTGAGATATTTTGCATATTGGCTCGGTGCTGATAGTGGAATTTCATCAACTCCCTTTTTTCATGCTTTAAAACTGAATTATGGAGACAGACTCTGTGCAGCGGGATGATCCCAACTCCCTCCAATTCCCGAAGGAGGAGCGATTAATGCCCCCACCCTCCCGGCTTTGATGGCAAGGTAGCTGGGGGTTCCTTTTGCATAACTGCCTTGAAGAAAGCAAGAGCTGGTAGCTGAGGGGACAAAATCCCCCTGGACATCAGACCTCAGGTGGGCCTTCCAGGTGGGAGCAGATGGAGGTGGCTTGAAGCACTGGACAGAGCTCCCCCATCCCTGAAGCCTGTACCTGTGTCAAAGGTGGGTGACTCGGACCACCCTCTGCCAGGCCATTGGGAATGTGAAAGAACCAGAGTGAAGTCCTGGTGAGCCCTGACCTGGACTAGAGCTTGACCACAGGTACGGTCTTTCCCTTACACGTGCCCATTGCATGGGTCATTCACGCCTCTCTGGGGAGATCCTCTACAGCCCCAACTTACGAGAAAGGACACAGGTCCAGGCACCAGCCCAGGTCTCCTTCCTGTGTCAGAGTGGGATTTTGAATACAGGCCCACTGGCCTGGGGGCCAGGTGGACACTGGTGGGCTATGTGCCCTGCTCCTCACCCATCAGTGTCCTGGCCTGTCCAAGGAGGTGCAGGGCTGGGAGAGGGGCACCAGGGAGTCCCTGGGGTACAGGCGGAGCCACGCTCTGACGGCTCATTTTCAAGCACTGGTCTTTCATTCACCCACTCACCCATGCACTAGCTCCGTTCTTCTCTCCCTTATTCATTCACTCATCAAAGCTTTCCTGAGCCCAATGAGTGCCAGACCCCCTGACACAGGAGACCCTGAAGCCACTAAGATGCAACCCCATGAAAGAAACATGAAAAATGCAGTGTGGCCACTGGCACGAAGGAGAGGGTGCCAGTCAGGGCGGCCTTCTTGGACGAGGCAACAAATGACTGGAGACCTGGAAGCGGACAAAAGGAGGATGCCTGCAAACAGGGCCAGGAAAAGCATCGCAGGCAGAAGGAACAGGAGGACGTGGAGGCCGGTGACCGTGTGCAGGCCCTGCCTCCCTGAGTCTGGTTTCCTCACTTGAAGGCCTGGGAGAGGCAGCCTTCTATCATGGGCTATGGTCGGGGTTCAGGCAAGGCCGTGCCTGAGGGTGCTGGGCACAGACTTATGGTTATTATTACAAGTGTTGTTATTTCAACTCTCCTCGGAAGTGCCCTCTGGCCCTCGAGGGATGAGAGGGCTAGGGGTGCTGAGGTGCTGGGGCCTGAGGAGGGTAGTGCAGGTAGGAGAGGAAGACCTCCCCCCAGGACTGGCAGAAGGCCTAGCCTCCTGTCTTACTGGCCCTGGACAGCTGGGGGAGGGAGTGGGCTCAGTGCTGCCAGAAGTGAGACCCTGGCCTCTGGGTGGCACAGTGGCCAGATAAGGCCCTGATAACAGAAAGAAAATAGCAACAGATTCAGACTTTCCCACCGCTGGGCAGAGGGCAGCTCAGGCCATGGCGGGGACACAGAGGCGGTGGCCACAGCCCTGTTCTCCCTGAGGGAGCTGTGCTGTGGGAGCTCAGGGTGACAGGGACCTGGTCGTTCTGGGGCCTAGCAGACAGTTGGGTCTGAAGCTTGACCTCTAGGCAGGAGGCAGCATGACCTCTGGCGAAGCTCCCCCTCCCCTGGGTCCTGTAGAGCACGACTGGATGCTCTTAAGCCCCTCGTCAGATACGAGGTGTTGGATCCAGCTTGTGTGTGACAGAAACGGAACCCAAGATACAGAGTGCGGGGGCAGCTGCTGGCCCAGCGCCTGCCTGTTAGCTGCACCCTGCACCCTGCAGCCTTTACTCACTGCCCAAGCCCCTCATGACTAAGTACCTTGTGCGCGATGCACAATTCTGACAAGTGGCGAGCTGCTTTCCCGGCCCAGTGGTTGGAGAGAAATAGGTTAGAAGAGGGAAGTGCTAGATAGGGCCAGGGCAGGGTCAGGGGCGTGCTCAGTAGGGCTTCTGATAGGAAAGGGGCCCTCGCGAGTAGGAATAGAGGGCAGGTTCTGGGAAGTTACAAAGCCTGGGAAAAGCATCCACTTAACCAGAACTTCTTCAACAGCTTCTCTAACATGAACAAAGGCAGGTTTCCAGACCGCTGCCTCCTAGGAGCTCACAGCAGCAGAGCAGTGGGGGCTTCCTGGAGGGGTACAGGCCGCCACAGGAGGCAGGTGGAGCTCTGGTGGGGGCCTCCTGGACACACAGGCAGGCCCCGGCACTGACTGCTCCTCCCGGCAGGTCCTCTCATGCCCATGTCCCTCCAGGATGTTGAGGGCCAGCACAGATGTCACAGGGAGCCTGGCAATCTCAGTAAGCCCATCTCCTGTCCTCTGCCCCCCTAAAAGTAGCCTGAAGCTGACTGCTCTCTGCATCACTGCCAGCACAGGGGCTTGGCCATTGGCAGGAGCTGCTCTTGGGCCCTAGCTCTTCCCTGCCCCACCTTCACCCCCAGGATTAACCAAACCTCTTCCACTGCCCTGGCCCTCCAGCCACAGGGCCTCCTCAGCCCATGCTGTCCTTCTGCCAAGGCACTCTCTCACCCTGTCTGTGCCAGGTTAAGGCCTTCTCACCCCTCGGCAAACTCTTCCTCCCACAGTCTGGGTGTCCATGGAGCTTCACATTTATTTGCAGGTCATTTGTGCAATTCTCCGGGGAGTGCGGAGTGGGGGCAGCTGGCCAGCTGATGCTCCTTCCGGTCTCCAGTGCCCAGAGGGAGGAAGAAGGGTGACCCACCTGCGGCCAGTTTCAAGGAAGGCACCGCCCCAGTGCCTAATGGGTGTGCCCAGGGTTTAAGGACTACATCGATGGCCGTGAGGAAGAGCATCCCAGTGGGGTACAGAGGGGTCTCTGGAGCCTAAAGAGGTGTGACCTAGGAAGGGCCCACAGGCACCTGAGTGACCTGCCAGTGGCTGTTATCAACCCAGGATCAGTCCTGATGACGGCTGGGGTGACCACAAAGAGGATGTTGGCAAGATAATCTTGGCTTATTTGAGTGGGCAGCCTGCTCCTCCAAGGGCAGAGTGAGCGTCTGGACCTCTCGGTTCTGGGGACCTGAGACCAGACGCTCTCCTGCACTGATCCTGTGCCCGCCCTACCCAACTGCACAAGTGGGCCGGGGGCAGAGGAGACATGCAGACGGAGCAGCTTGACTCTGCTTCTCCACCAAGGTCAGCCAGATGCTGACTGAATGCCTCCTGCAAAGGGGAACTCGCTACTCTTCCAGAGGTGCAGACATCTGAGTCCTAGACCTTTGCACCTCTCAGGTCTTGGTGTCCCCATCCCAGCTGCTGTGTATAAGTGCCGGGCTGTGAGCCACCCAGCTTAGCAAGCCTCCTAGCCGAGCCCAGAGGTGCTGGTGAGTGCGACTGTCCCAACTTAGCCAGGCTGGAGGAGGGTGGCTGGCTGCCATCACAACACACCCCGGGCCATCCCAGGGCAAAGAGATGCCCTCAGCATCAAGCACAAACTTGCAGTGCCCAGGGCACCAGGCAGGAGACCTGAGCTCTCTGGAAACACAGAACCATGCTCCAACAGACAAGGGCCGCTGGGGCTGACTCCAGCTTCCAACAAATTAAAAAGATCCTAGGGAGATATAATTCGCATACAATAAAAATTCATCCTTTTAAGGCGTGTTTATTGAAAGATTCGAGGGACAGTCATATGTGCCCAAATAAAACCCAGGGCCCTGTGACTCAGTCTCATGCAAAGGGACTAGCATCTTTCCTTGTCAACTCTCCCACGCTCCCAGCCAGCCAGCGCCTCTCACTTGGGGCCCTACACCCAGCCACGAGCCAGGTCCCTGTGCCTCCGCCCTCCATTCCTGCACTTGAATGATCTTTGTCCCAACTTCCCTCTTCCTTCCCCCAGGTCCCTTCTCCTTACACCCACTTTCTGACTCCCTGCAGGTCTGGCAGCCAGGCTGGCGACTGCCGGGCCTCACTGCAAGGGTGTGGAGGGAGGCCGGGATGCTGGGGATGAGACGAACCTTCCCCTCAGCAGATGGTGGGCGGGACACAGTAAAGGCCAGTAACCAGGCCAGTAATCATGTGGATATCTTGCCCCTGTGTCTCCATTATGCCCGGGGGCTGCTGTAACCAAGAATAGCCCCAGCCCAGGAAATGAGACCCACTTTCTACCTTTGAGCTTCTAGGGCAGGAGGACCCTGTCCGAGGCCTTTGGCCCTCTCACCCTGCGGCCAGCCCCTCCTCCTAAGGCCTCACCCTCCCTGGTCACCCAATGCTCAGCTTCCCATCTCCTTCCTCCAGGGGCTGTCACACAGATTCTAAGGTCACACTCTGTGGTGGGTGGTTGTCCACACTTAATCTGCCACTGCACTCAGGCCTAGTAGTGATGTGCACTGGAACCCTCCATGCCCGGACCCACCCTCCTCTGCTCAGCACCCCGTGGCTCCCTTACCGTGGCCCACAGCCTATGCCAGTGCCCTGCTCTGGAACAGCACCTGGCACATAGTAGGTGCTTAATGCATACTGGTGACTGTGTGACAGATGTGGGGAGGGAAACAGGCTGCTAACAGACGACCTGGCTCCGAGCTGGGTGTGGCGGGGGGCCTGCTGGGCCCCCACAGGACAGGGGAACGGAGGGAAGGGCCTCGGGGAGTTTCATTCAGCCCCAGGGGGGAGCCTTGGGGCCTGAGCCCGTGTGTGGATGGATGATCAGGGGCTGAGTCCCGAATGAGGGATGTGCCACCTCCCCTACTTGTGGAAGCCAGGCCTTCCTGCCTGGGGTATCTGAGGCCTGGGTGGGTATGGGGGCTCCAGACTGGGAGGGAGATTGGGGGAGATAGGGCACTAACACCCAGTGGGGGGGTCCTGCATCCATATCCCATCCCTCAGCCACCACCACTTCCTCCTGTGGTCAGTCCCTTAACCGACAGGCGGAACTCAGGGGGGCTTAACTGCCCCAGCACCGAGGGCCACGCCCAGAGGGGGGCCTAGGGTGGGCCTGGTCACTCCCACGGAGCAGGAAGAACCATGCGTAGTGCGGGGGCATGTCCAGCCTGCCCTGCTAGGCCCGAGTGAGCACCGGCAACGCTAATGATGGCGGTGGCAGCAGTAGGTGTCGAAGCAGCCTCTGCAGCAGACCCAATCCTAAGGATTTAATCACGTAGCACTTTTGATCCTCAACTCCTCTACTTAGTGTTACCCCCACTTTACAGATAGGGAAACTGAGGCAAAAGGAGGTTAAAGGAACTGGCCTAAGGCCCCAGAGCTAGAAGAGCGGGCCGGCGGCCGCACGCTCCCCTTTCCTGTCCCGGCGTTTCCTGCACTGTCCCGCCCGTCGTTTCTATGTATAGGGGTGACGGCAGGAGACCCAGGTCTGCGGACTCCCGGGCCTGTGGCTTTGTCACCTGGCCTCCGTGTCCCTTCCTGGCCCTGTGCCACAGATGAACCAAGGCCCGGAGAAGCCCTCCCTACCTCTCAAGTCCTTTCCCCAGTCCGTCCATGATCGTCCAGACACCGCCGTCTTTCCGCCACTCCTCCCCACAGCCACCAGAGGTCTGTTCCCTGAGGCCAGGTCCCAGGCTCCACCAGCCACTTGCCGTGTGGCCTGGGCCAGCATGCCCCTCTGTGCTCTGTGGGGCTGTCCACCTGCCTCCCAGGGCTATGCAGTGACAGGACCCCCCAGAGGAGCTGTGGCCCCTCTGGCCCAAATCCCTGGGACGCAAGTGCATAGCCCTCAACAGTTTATGAAGCTCTGCCAGGACCTTCCTCAACACCAGCATGTAAGGAAGCTGGTTCCTCTGTACAGATGGGAAACTGAGGCAGAGAGCACTATACCAGTCCTCGTCTTGGGCCTTGGGCTATCTACCGCCCACAGCTATTTAGGGCAAGGCAGAACCGAAGCTGGGCCAGGGTCTGGAGCATACGGCTCTGAGCCTGGGGAGTCCGCCCAGGCCCTGGTTTGCACATCTGGCAAATGGGCACTGCCACACTAGCCTCATAGTGCCGCTATAAGGAGTAGACGGGAAGGGGCTTTGCAGGAGGTGAAGACTCCCCAGATGCGGGCTATTCCTAAGAGTACTGTAACCCCTTCTACCAGGTTCCTGAGCACCTGCCACCTGCCAGTTCAACCTGAGCAAACAGGTCTGGACGGGGGGTGTGTGTGCATGTGGGTGATATGTGGACATTAGGGTATGGGTAGACACGCATCTCCGATACTAGGAAGAGCTAAGATGGTACAGGATGAAGAACAGCAGGTGGGGGTGGAGGTGGCTAGTGAGGGGTTCTCAGAGGAGGAGGCGATATCTCAGCTCTGACTGTGAATAGGGAAGCCCGCTCCAGGTGGAGGGAGTTGTCTGTGCAAAGCCCTGGAGGCGAGAGAGTTGGTGGGTTCTGGCTCTGCAGCTGAGGATGGTGCAGTGGAGAGGCAAAGGGGCCGGAGCTCCAGGTGGCTGGCCAGGGTTTAGTCTCAGCACCTGGAGGCTACGCAAAGACTGTGGGCACTAGACGGAAGGGAGGCCAGCTGCTGTGGATGGCCACCACCTCCGGGCAGCCTCTTACTGGGGGCCATGTGCTTGGCCTCAATCAGGATCCTCCCCTGCCCCCAGCCTGCCCCCTTTCTCTGACCAGGGCCAGTGGGCAGGTCCCCCACCCCTGTCCCTAGGGGCAGGGTCCAGGCAGGGCAAGGCAGAGAGAGGGGAGGCAGAGGAGGTGGGAAGAAAATGCGGGGCCTGAGAAAGCCCAGCCTGGCTGATAGGGGAGAGATTGGTTTCAGCCAGAGCTGTGGGCCTGCCAAGTCCACATCCTATCGTGCGGCCTGTACTTACTCAACATTCATCTCCGCTCAGCTCGGAAACTTTATCAACGCTGGAGGTTGGCGCCATCTCTGGGCCCGGCCACTCCCCACCCTCCGATGGGCCAGATAGCTGCTGATAGATTACACGAGATTGTTTCACTCCGAGGACCGATTACTAATACTCCCGGGGGAGGAGGTGCAGACCACATGGCCTGGGCCAGGTGGAGAGGGGCCAGGCCACTCATGGGCCACGGAGAACACACTTGGGGCCATGTGGCAAAGACCCTGGCATGTGACTGATGGGAAGGTGGAGGGGAGAGGCTACGGCATGGGGTGATAGTGGCGGTCAAGGCCAGGGTGCACAGCAGAGGTGGCCAAGGCCACGGCATAGAGTGGAGAGCGGCAGGCAGCCTGGGGAGGAGACAGGGAAACAGTGCCCGAGAAAGAGGAGGGCCATTGGCTCCAAAGAGATTCTCTCTCCAGATGAGCCGATAAGGCTGATAGATGGGAGTGGGGCTGCGGCTAATGGAGCCGTCACCGGGTAGCCCCCAAGTCAGATGGATGGAGGCAGACTGCTCCCTGGAAGAGGCCCGGAGACCACACAGGGAACTGGTAGGTAGTGAGCCCTCCTCAGCCCCAGATTTCTCCGCTCTTACTTTGGAAGCACCAGGCACTGCCACACCGGGTCCGCACTACAGACACCCTGAGACGGGCCTGGCCTCAGCCACTTTACCAGGGAGCTGTGGCCCCGGGAGGAGCAGGAACTTGGCCCCAGGGAGGCCTGAGTTCAGGATTCCATTTGCTTCCCCTTCCAGGTCAGGGAGTCCTGCCCCTATATCCTGCAGGCTGCCCCAATGCTCTGTGTGAGGAGCACGCCCAAACCTGGAAGACCCTGGTGTCCAGACTTGCGTCCTGGGGACGGTGTGCAGGGAGGAAGGAAGAGGCTGGTCTTCTGGGCTGGTCTTTTCCCTTGGGTTTGGCCAGGTCCCAAGCAGCAAATCTACTCTGCTCCCACTGTACAGATGGGGACACTGAGGTACTTTCCCATTCCCATGAGGAACTGGTGGCACTGCAGGGCCTGAAACTCTACATCCTGACCCAGAGCGCCCCACCTCCCCATGCAGCCAAGGGTCAGTATCTAGGAAGCTGGGGTGGCGGATGCCCGGGCTCAAATCCCACAGGGCAGGGCCTCTGCCCCCTGAGCCTGTTACCGAAACTGAAAACTGGGAGTTAAAACATCAGCCTTAAATTCATAGGCAGAGAGTAGAATAGAGGCTGTGAGGGCCGGGGGAGGGGCAGACACTTCGTGTTCAATGGGGACAGAGTTTCTGTTGGGATGACAGCAACTTTCTGGAAGTAGATAGTGGCATTGTACAACCTTGTGGCTGTATTTAATGCCACTAAATGGCACATTTGAAATTGTTACAATGACAATAAATTTTATGTGTATTTTACTACAATTAAAAAAAAATCTGTCACCCAGTGCCAAGGAACACAAAGCAGGTGCTCCATTAAGTATCTGTTCCTTTCCTCAGGGATTTGGAGACACAGGTCCCTACCCCTGTGCACAGCCCTCTACAGGGACACTGCCTTGGGCCATTTGCCAGATGTGGAGACTGAGGCCAAGGTTTGCTGGGGCCTGGTTCTGCAACCACGGATGGGGTGAGAATGTTGGGGAGTCGTGGCAAGTCCAGGAGGCAGGCCAGACCAGCTGACTGGTCCCATGAACGGCCCTGGGCGAAGTTCTGCTGCTGTTTTGCCCCTCTAGGCTCTCAACGAAGGGTCTGAGGTTTCCCGCAGTCCAGCTGCAAGCCCTGAAGCCCAGGAATGCCCAGTGAGACTGGATGGAGCCCTAGGCCTGTGAGAAGCATGTCCATACAGCTCCTACGGAGTTCCTCACAACCTTGGAGGGTCCCGTCTGAGGCTCAGTGGTTTCAGTTGACTGGCCCCAGGGGACCCAGCAAGTGGAGGTCTGGGATTCGGGTCCACAACCAGCAACCTTGACCCCTACAGGATGAATGAGGGCCATGGTGATGATGGTCACAGTGGGGCATGGACATTACAGATTTGAGCCAAACCCACTGGCTTGTCAAACACTGGCTTGTATCTGAGTTCCCAGAGGTCATTGGGCCAGGACAGAGTAAGTGGAGAGGACAAGTCTGGGACGCGAGAAGGCAGAGAGCTACATGCACAGGCCCCCTGCCCCTGCTCACACCCTGGGCCCGAGAGCCATGTGTTGTCCTGGAGGCGAGGCGGCATGCGGAGGCAGTACTGGCGCTTGGACTGGGCCTGGACTGTGCTGGTCAGCACACAGCAGGGGCTGGCACTTCTCCCACCACGATCACCTCACTCCTTGCTCAGAGCTGTGCCCCTGTGCTTCCTTCTGCCTGGAATGTTCTTCCCCACACATGCCGCCATACCAACGTCTGTGCTTCAGTGTGGCCACCTCGCCTTCCCCAACCGCCAGTCCCCCCAGCTACAGGGAACCCCTCTACTGCTGGGGATTATTTTCTTCTCTATCTCCCACCAGCCTGGGGCTCCAGGAGAGCAGTGACTGAGGCCCTGCCTCTGAAGGTCACCAGGACCCCTGGTCACAGCCCCTGCTGTGGTCCAGCCGTCCCTTCCCCACAGAAGGTGCTCAGTACAAGTTAGAAGTCAGCCTGTATGTGACAGTTTCCAGGCAGCCAGCCCCTGAAGGAATGAGTCCCCATCATGCCTTGGGGATGGGGACCTCACTGTCCACTGGGTAGGACCCCAGCTCCCACAATTTAGGGCTCTGCCCACATGTTCCCTTGCAGGCACTAACTTTTCCTTCCAGTTTCCTTTTCTCCTTGGGTTTGCTTTGGTCTCCTGGGAGGGGCCAGGGTGGGGATAAATGCAGACACCAATTGAAGTATAATTTATTGAGCATCTACTGTATGCCCTGCACTGTCCTGGGGGAGAAAGAGCTACTGGTAGAACGGGGCCTCCTCTCAAGAAGAGTTCCAGGCAGGTGTTAGGAGACCCCTCCAAGGTGAAGCTGCCCCCCCAGAAAAACTGCCCTTTCACTCTTGTGTACCGAGTCCCTCTGACCCTCACCCCCAGGCCCCGAAAGGCACCATCACCCCGTCTTATGGGGTGGGGGACGAAGGCCCAGAGAGGTGAGGGGCTCAGCCGAGGACACGCAGGGGCAGTGTGATCCTGGCTCGATGGCCCCCTCCCCATTTCCTCCCCTTAGATCTCAGCCCCAACTCTCTCCTCACCCTGCTGCTATTTTCCATTTACGCATTTTTGAAAACCGCCCACGCCTGTGGCTGCTTTTTGGTCATGGAGCCCTGATGATGCCGTGGGAGCTGCACCAGCCTGTGGCCGGGCCTGCCTGGGTCCCTGTCTTGCTGACAAGATGTCCTGTGAGGCTGCAGAGTGACTGAGAACACAATGAGAACCCCCGAAGTTGCCGATCGCTTCCTACAGACACGGTCTCCTCTCATGTACATTTCCAAAAATGGGAAATGCAGAAATATGCCTCCAGTTTCCAGAATACGCCCCAGTCACAGGAAGAGTAGGGAACACCCAGAGAACCTCCTTCTCGTTACGTGGATGGGGTAACAGAGGCCCAGGGAGCAGCAGGGCTGGCTGCAGGTACAGAAACTAGCCGGGAGGCAGAGGCCAGACCTTCCTATTCACGGAGGGGAAGCAGGTCTGGCAGGCAGGTTGGAACTGTCATTCACGAAGCTGGTGCTACAGAGCCTGGCAGGGCAAAGTCCTGATAAACATCATAGCTAGGGAGGGCAGAGAGTGGGGAGGCAGCACGCAGAGGGTCTGGAGGTACCCAGACACAGGGAGCAGGAGCGGAGGCTGGCCAGCCTTGAGTGGTCCCTGCCCTGCTTTTGAACTTGGTGTTCCCATCTGCAGTGCTGCAGAGTTGTCAGCACTGACTCAGGGACGCACAAATCCTGGCCCCTGAATTCATGCTGTGGGGGCCTGGGCTCTGAGGGTCAGCAGGAGGTCACGCAAAGGCCAGCCTGCCCATCCCCCTGCTTCTAGGCCTCCAGAGCTGAGAAAGGGGGGATTTCCACCAGCAGGGCTGGCTCTGGGCTGGGACATTGGAGGAGGCCCAGCCCTGGTGTGATGGCCGATTCCTGGGTCACACGTGCTCATTTGCATGCCATTTCCATTGACTGGCTGCACACAGGTTAGGACCTTGGTTCAGGGGCATCTGAGGGGAAGTTGTGGGGTAGGTGGGATTGGGAGACTAGGGGCGGGTGCCGGGCTCTGGGGGGCCTGGGTTGGGGCATCAGGCAAGGGGTGCTCTAGCAGTGCCAGACTTTTGGGGACTGTGCTAGTGGGGCCTTGAGCTCTGGGAATACCAGACTCTGCGGTGCCAGGTTGAGGGGCCTGGACTCTGAGGGGCTGGGCTCTGGGGGGAGACCAGGTTCTGAGGAGCAGGTTTTGGGGGTGCTGGGCCCTGGATGACTGGCCTGTCCCAGCCCCAAGTCTGGGACGCAAAGGGGAGCTTGCTGCATGGGGAAGACTGGTTACAGTGCAGGCTCTTCTTTCTCCTCCAAGGTCTCCCTAACCCCTCAAACTCCACCAACCCTCCACCCCCCAGACAAGGAATTCAGAGGGGGAAAGATACTGACCCCGGCTCACACAGCCAGGAGGCAGCAGCACAACTAGAACCTTGCCCCACGTCCTGGCCTGGCCCAGCCCATCCCAAGGCTAGGTCCTTCCCTCCAGGGAGGCCTTGGAGAGGGTAACTGCTTAATTTTAGCTGCTTTGTCTCAGGGAGGTCTACTTTTGGCTTCCTTTGCACAATGATGATGATGATGGTGGTTTTAAGAGAACCTGAATGACCCCCAACTCCTGCTTCCTTCCACCTTAGATCTAGTGGCACCACTTTCTTGGGTTCCGCGAGTGGCAGAGTGGTGGGCTCCCTGGTGCATGTGTGCGCGCACCAGTGCTTTTGTTCCCTGCATTTTGGTGGGCAAGATAAGGGGGACGCCGGAGCCGCTCGGAGCGGCAGGCAGATAGATCGCGGCGATAGGACTCTTCTGCCACACCGGCCTATCGCCCTCTTTGTCACAGTTCCCTTTTCTTTCTTTCCTTTTCTTCCTTTCTTGTTGGGGAGGGGTAGGGTAGACTAAACTCCCACCCTGGACCCCAAGTGGAGGAACCAAGGGGCGAGGTCTCTCTCTCAGGCTCCCTCCAGCTGTGTCCAGCAGGCATATCCGGCACCTTGGCCCAGAGCCCCCAGCTGGAAGGGGCGGGGGTCCTTGGATGGCTGTCACCATGGGGACAACGGCAGCAGGCACATCTGCCCTTAACAGAGTGAATACCCTGGGCCTCTCTCATTGGCTCACGAAAGGACCCTGAGAGAGGATGACTCCTCATTTCACGGAGGAGGGCAGAGAGGCTCGGAGAGGGGACAGGACATGGGCGGGGCTGGGATCTGAACCTGGGCCTTGAAGTTGGGGGTCTGGAGCTGAGTGCTGAGCTCCTCTATTGAGAAGCTGTATGAGGCCACAGGTACCCAGGCACAGGGAGCCGTCGGGGCGGAGTGCCAGAGCCAGCCTCTGACTCCCAGCCCAAGGCCTGCAAGGCAGGTCTTAGTATTTTCTGCCCCATTTTACAGATGTTGGAACTGAGGCTCAGCACAGGGCAGTGCCTGTGAGTCACAGAGAGGAGACACACTGGATCCCACACTCCCTCTGTATTCCCTCTGGCTCTGGTGAAAATGGAGAGTTCTCCAAGAAATGGACTCCCAGAACTATAAGACAAATGTTCTAGAACCACCGGCATCACTGCGGGATAGAACAGGGCCCTGGACCTCTGCAAATGAGCTGTTTGCCAAAAACAGCCCAGGGAGAATGCTGGTAGGTCATGGGGCATGTACAGCTGACAGCCCCAGCAACCCCTGGTCCGTGAACTCCAGGTTTCATGTTCTACACTGTCAACCTACTTTTGCCACATGTCCCCTAGAGCACCTGAATCCCTGATGCTTTCCCCATTTCTCTCCCATCTCATTCCTCATTCCTCAAAGGCCGAGGAGGCTGCATAATGGCAATTATGTCATTTTCAGGTGACTTAAGGTCAAGTGACATAAGTAAGTCACTTGCCCAGGCCACCAGCCCAGGGGGCAGAAATCAAACCTCAGTCACCCCACCCTACACTTGTCCCCTTCCCCTGCATATGTATTTGTTTTGTGGGAAATAGCTGACTTCCCTTAGAATATTGAAAGGAATCAAAATCCAGAGACAGAAAGAAGCCAACTTTTTCATCAAAGGAGCCAATGCAGAGGCAGCTATCGTCTACTGATCTTGGACAGGGCTGTGCGACCCAGAGCCTCAGTTGCTCCCTCCTATGCTGTGTGACCTTGGGTGAGTTACTCAACCTCCCTGAGCCTGAATCCTTCGAGGAGAAATGATGTCAGAGGTGTCCTTCCCGGGGCTGCTGGGAGTACTCTACAGGATAACACAGG